AGAATTCTATCCTGTAAATAGTTTGTTTTTGATTCTCATTCTGATGGTTTTTGATACAAGGAGAGGAGGTGATATTGTTTATCAGAGATCCTTAAACAAGATGTTGTCCTATTGAATAGAATGTTAATAGTGGTGTAATAATGTAGGACTTTTCTTCTTTTTTTTTTTGCAGCTTCTTTTACCAAGGCTCAGTTATCTAACGTTAGTTACCGAAAAAGTTCAGAAACATTTTAAGAAGCATACAGAATCTGAAGAAACAGACGAGATGTGGTTCGACTTTGAAGGCCAGCCGCTAAAATGGTAAACCTTCTCTGATACGATAACAAGAAGAAAACAGCATACTTTCCTATTAATGCAAAACAGCTACGGTTCAAATACACAAATATGCTGAAGCTCACTGCCGCCTTGCTTTTATCCATACAAAATCAGTATTTTGTGCTAAATATTTCTGAATGGAAATTGGTTACAATATTTATTATTATTTTTATTATTACTACTATTATAATTATTATTATCATTATAAAAAATTTACGCTTTATTACACTTTGTTACATTATATTAAGTAGTAAAAATATTCAGTGTTATCAGCATTTGTTGTCCAGAGTCTTTTAAAGATGTATTGTCCCTTAAAAATGACAAAATATATCCTTTAAATATATTTAATTAATTTGCTCAAGAAGAAAACAGCATACTTTCCTATTAAATCAAAACAGCTACAGTTAAAATACACAAATATGCTGAATTTCACTGCATGCTGTGTGTTGCTTGCTTTTATCTATACAAAATCACTATTTTGTGCTAAATATTTCTGAATGGAAATTGGTTAAAATATTTATTATTATTTTTATTATTACTACTATTATTATTATTATTATCATTATAAAAAATTTACACTTTATTACACTTTCTTACATTATATTAAGTAGTAAAAATATTCAGAATTATCAGCATTCGTTGTCCAGAGTCTTTTAAAGATGTATTGTTCCTTAAAAATGACAAAAAATATCCTTAAAAAAATATTTAATTAATTTGCTCATTTTGCATTAACATAAATTATTAACTTGACAATGTAATCGAAAAAAGAAAAAAAAATGTATGATATATTTCTTTTTATATAGGCATTATCCAGTGGGTGTTTTATATGATTTGGTAGCTTCAAGTTGTACTCTACCATGGAAATTAACTGTTCATTTTAAGGTATAGTTAAGCGAGTTTTAGGTCATTGTAAATTTGTAATATACATCTCATTAAGTGCCCATTAATGCTAGTAAAAAATGATTACCTTCTAAAGCCATTTTCCTGTTTTAAAGCTTAAACATGTCCACTTCCTGAGCTTTATAATAAAACATTATACAGTTGAACTTGCCTAAGTCGAATCCAAAATGCCATTGAAATATTGTTCGACTTAGATAAAATTGGACTTACAGATTGTTAATAAATGGAAAACACAACCATTTGTCATTTAAAATTGGATTGACTTTGAAATTATTTGACTTAGGCGAGTTTAACTGTATACATCATTTCATCTTGTAATTACAATTGTCATTCTAGCGAAATCTCTGTCAGAGAAATGAAAACTCTGGGTCACGAAAAGTCTGCCACCCCATCATTGACCTGTCAATATACTACTGTATCTGGTTACCTCTTGAAATAAATTCAAGTAGAATAATTATCAAATATAAAACAACTAGAAATGACAAAGCAGTACAGAAAGACGGTAAACAAGTTATAATTAAAAATTGTTTTATTTCTGTAGCATTACCCCGAACAAGAAATACTCCATTGTCGAGACAAAGAAATAATAGAAGCACACTATATGTCCTGCGTTAAGGAGGCTGATGTTCTTAAGCACAGGGGTATAGTGATTAACAACATGCAGAGACGTGACCATAAGCAACTATGGAGTGGTCTACAAAATGGTAATGCAAGTCATATGTATTTCTATACTGGCGGATCCAGCAATTCAGAATAGAGAGTGCCAGGGAAGGGTTTAAACTGATGTGGGTGTCTCTACCACCTCAGCCCTACTACCATTTATGATTGTGGCACCTCTAAATGACCAGAAATAGCACTCTCAGGCCTAAATTTGAACATCATTTTTCTTTATGCTTTTCGAAAATTTAAGGGGGTGGAGGTGGTGCCAACTGGGCCCTGTTGAATCCGCCACTGATATATCATACAACTACAACAAAAATTGCATAATCTCCGAAGTGTCACCATCTGCCACCACCCTAGCGCATTCCCAGAACCGTACCTAGGATTGGATTTATTCGGCGTAAATACTAAGGATAACCCAATCCAAAGAAGACTTATTCCCAAATGGTCCTTCTGGTGGTAATTGGACAGTACACTGGAAGACAATCCGCTACCCTTTTCCGAAGAGTGTACCATGTTCTTAAGTACATAGGCCATATTGCACACAGTACTAATGGCTTAATCGTCTCATCCGAAAGTATGCATTTTTATACTTACATTGCAGCCCTCCAGCTGAAACATAAGGAGAGCAGTGATGGGAATTGAACCGGGGACCAAAAGATCTCCAAGGTTCAGTACTCACAGAGTGGCTACAGCCAGTTTAGTCAACTGAGCTATGCTGCTCTCTAGGTTGTTAATTGATACCTTTATTTTACTATAATCAATATTGTTTCTATACCATTAGCCTACTTGTTATAGTTATTATAATAATGTAGTGATATCTATTTTGGTTTATTTCAGATAAATTTGATCAATTCTGGACAACAAATCGTAAACTTATGGAGCACCACAATGAAGAACCCTTTAGATATGTACCTTTCAAAATTTATCAGGTAAGTATACAATGAATCAAATACCAGCGCTTGTGGAAGCTTCAGCGCGGCGTTGAGCAAGAGAGGGGCTTTATACAGTATTAAAGTGAGTTTCACATGTTATTTTCTTCAGAAGGTATCACATGTTCAACATAGGCCTATACATACATTGCAGCATTTATATAGTGAAATTTCATAAAGATCAGAGTGCTCAAAGCTTGGACTATATAACTCACTCAGTAAGTTTCTTCTCCCCTAAGGGTCTCTTCGTATCTGAGCTACCCGGTAAAGCTATACCTGCTACTCTCCTCTGTCCACAACAAATGTTATTGCTATTGGCTTCTGTTTCTGAATTTGTATTTTAATATTTTTGTATGTTTTCTGAATAAATATACCTGAATAATAGCATGTAATGTTGATTTAGGCCTGCAGCACTCAAAATACAATGTATTTAATAAGCTCCGTGGTAATTGTTCGGGTGCATTGCACTAAGAAGTAATTACTATGATAAATCTTGAGTAAACAGCTTTCTCACATTCTCAACACAAAATTGAGAATATTTATTTAAAACTAGGTGAATGGCAAGCAAAAACCATTCTTTCCAGAGATTATATTTCTCTAGATGTTCAGTAATACATTTTCAATGAAATGAGTAAAGTCATTTTAAATGTTTCTCTTTGTCCCATTTCTTTGTAGCCAGACAAAATGTATTTACAACAGTTGTTCAAACCTTATTCAGAGGAAGGGGAACCTCTGACCCTAGGTCACTTATTAAAAGAGCTTTTACCTGAAATATTTCCTGATCGAGGTACAGTACAAAAAAAGAAATTTTTTTGTAATTTATTCTTAAGTATCAAAGATAGTAATTTTGTCATGTAAAGCCAGTTCACAATATTAACAAATGTTAATAAGAATTAATTATTATATTACTTTCCCTCTAAATATCCTGTAAACATTGCTTACCACTTTTAAGTATTTTGATAACTGAATTTTTGGTTCCACATTTTAAAAGTGTGTGAACCTTTCATTTTATCTTAAATGATGTTTGTTACTATTCCTTACTATAAGTTTATTAAAGGTCTATGTGTATTTTATTTACTATCAGAAAATAAATAAAGTTTATTTGTTGTTTCGTAGATTATAGCACATAGAACTTTTATCTAAATTACATACTTTCATTTTTGACATGGGTTTTTGTTTTTCTCTAGAACCTGTTGAAGCTGTGAAAGTATTAATCCAAGGGACAGAACCCCCCTTTGATACACCCATCCAATGGCTCAGCGAACACCTCAGTCACCCTGACAACTTTCTACATATTTGTATAATTAAAAGGACTTGAGAATAATATACTGTGTCAGCAATGTTAACCTTTAAACCACCTCTAACAGAATTAATTCAAATATAATACATTGGTCTATGTATTATATATAACACTGTAATTTATCATAATCTTAAGGGTCTGGGTATCAGTTTCGGTACCATTTATAATAATGATAAACATATGGTACCAGTGTGGTAATATTTTTAATACTGTAGTCCTGGTGCTATGGGTTGTAGTTTGGAACACTAATAGGATATTTCTAGAGGGTAAATGTTTTGTACCTTTTAAGATAATTCCAGAGGTGTGGGTACCCTGTACAAGGCACCAATAGTGATCTTTCAATTGCACGACGACGGTAGGACGTAGAACGTAATGACGTCACTAAAAGTCGTTTACGCATGAGAGAACGTTCAGTTTTCCTTGTCGCGTAGATTCTAGGACAGAATTTGGCCAGATCTACGTATGCAGAGAACGTAGGGCAACCAGTAGGACGGCTACACATGAGTGATTCCGTTCTAGCGTCGCATCGTTGAACAAACTGAAAGCTCCTCATTACCTGTTTGGTACCTTTTACAGTAGTAACATCAGTGAGAGTACCAGTTTGGTGACCTCATGGTAGTCCTAGATGCATGGGTACCAATAGCAATAGGGACTTTTTGGTGGACAGTGTAAACTTGTTGTAAAGTGTAGTCTTGTTACCCAAGATACATATAGCTTTGCCAAATTTTTACCTACTAAGTAAGCTAGGTACTAGGTACTAGTTTGGTAGCCTCAGGATAGTCTGAGCGGATACCTGCTTAGTACCCTTTAGGATAGGGCTAGGCACTCCTGAATCCTGCAGTCCCAACGGCATCAATATCAATTTGATACCTTTTAGGAAAGCCTAAATGCAAATTTTTAGGATGAAGTAAAATTATCCTGTTACTTTAGTTTCCTCTTCAGGGTTTTTATTTAATGGGAGGTTATTGATGATGTTTTTGTGATCTATTTTAACAATTAAATGTGCAATAATCAGTATTTTCAACTAATGTATACATGATTGTCATTGATAATTATTTTGAATATAAACAAACGTGTCTCTTCCATTAGTGTAAAAAAAATGATGAAATTACTTGGTTATATATTTAGGCATGTGGTTGTTTATTCAGAAATATTGTTACAATTTTTAAATATCTCAAATGAGGTCAGGCTTTTTTATACCTTGTTTCACGATCACCAGAGGACGGTGGAAAAAAAATAACATTTTGTTTTCCTTAGTAAATGATTTTCTAAACATCCAGAGGAGAAAAAATATTTATATGTTTATTGTTGAATGTAAACAGTGTAGTAATGAAATGGTTAAATGCTTTATATACTTATAAAGAAATATACATATCTTAATTTTAGTAATTTCAAGGCATTGGTGGGCATGATAAAAATAAAGAAAAACTTTAGATTTTTTTTTTCTTTTCTGAAATTTCCATTTTTCTGTAGCAGTGAGTGTGCTAAATGGCTGAAAATAAAATTTTATTTATTTTTTTATTGGTGGGCAGCAGGTTTCGCTAAACAAGGTATAAAAAGTCTCGCCTAAATATTGTATCATATCATAAAAATATCTTTTAGAATATGATATAATCCTAAGTTTAAAAACCAGCAAGACAGCGGTGTCTATCTGATGACCAATTTTCTTTCAAAGAAAGATGGCTAACATTAATAATAATAATAATATAATAAAATTTTCTAAAAAAAATATTGCTTTTATGATAGTATTTTAATTTTATCCTTGGGGAGGACGTTTTGTATTGAGTGTGGGGAATATGCAAGTGCTGTAGTGCACCTATAATTGTACTTGATTTGCATGTATTCATATCTGAATGGTAATCCACTAAATTGGAACAATCATGTGACTTGAATCATATATCATGAGGTATAGTGTCTACAAACTATTGCTCAGTGATGTATTGGGAAATGCATATAAATGCAGCAAAAGGTCACATGACAACTATCATTTCTGGTTCGATGGACCTTTCTACTAAGCCCCGCCCCTTGGATATTGTTGCTAAGGTCCCAAAAAAGGATAGTGTAAAATTATACAGTCATTTTCTTAGCCCTGTTTTGATTGGTCAGTTAAGTGATTTACATGCCAGAATGGTCTATTGTGTCTCATATTGTTAACAGCGTTGACGTGCCATCAAGCTACTGAAAAATGGAACATCAGCCTAAAGCTAAACATTGGATCCGCCTTTTAAGATAATGGCGGGATATAAGTAATTCAAGTATCTACTCTACTAAATAATTTGTGTACAGCAATTTTGTTGCCAAGTATCAAAATATATTTTATCACAAGTGCCTCCTGTTCTCTTTATGTATGATTCTTTTGTATGGTAAAAAAGGTGTATATAATAATGAATAAAAATTAAATATGACATACTGTAATATTTGTGTTTTATTTATTGAAATATGTGATATTCTTGATTTTTTAAGACGAACCAAAACTTACAATATAATCATATACTACCTCTTTATATAAATCAATTTTCTATTTTCACAACCTTTTTCACAACCATTCATCACTATTTCAGTTTGAAAACAACTGTTCTCATAATAATGTTTACAGGGGATGCTTGATTCAAAATTGTTCAAACCTTCTATCTGTCACCTAATCCATATTGTATGAGTAATGTACACATGGACCATTGCAAACAAAACCTATGGTGTGATCGACCATTGGTGGATCCAAGGGATGGCAAAAGAGCAACAGCAGCAAAAAAAAATCACTAAGTAATAACCTTCGCTCCTTTGTTCTCGCCCCCCCCCCCACCTCCTACTTCATTTGCATTTGCATATAGAGTAATTTTAGAGGAAATAAAGATATTATTATTAAGTGTGAGTTTAAAATGGCTAAAGTTTTGGAGCTTTCAGGGAATAGTCACCGGACCCCAAAAACCTTCCTGAACCATAATTTCCTCCCTTCTTTGATTTTGGTTCATTAAGCAACACACCGCCCTGGAAAAAAAATTCTGTCACTGACAGCACGTCAGAAAGACGGTATTCTATTCAACCTTGCATTCCAGCCCTCCAATTAAAACGCAAGGACAGCAGCAATATAAATAAACCAGTAAATGTGTTTATATTATATCATGCAGACTCCAAAAAGTCTAAGAGAAGCCATAGTGATTCAATATTTCGTTTTTTATTATTATATAAAAAACGAAAAATTGAATCACTATGGCTTCTCTTAGACTTTTTGGAGTCTGCATGATATTATATTATCTAAATATTATCAGTGGTCCACTTAGTAATGTGTTAAATGCTTCAATTGAGTAATATCAGAAAAAAAGACCTGCACAGTGACTAGTTTTGTATATATAACCTGTAATTTCATTCAATCAGCAATGTACAGTGGTGTGTGATTATTAGTGTGATGTGCAACGGCTGCAGAAGAGTTAGTCCGTCATTGTTTAGAGTTCTGATCAGGCGATAAATATTTATATTGAACAATTTGTAATTATAACACATGGTTGTGTTTATATCACCAAATCACTTTTCGCTCTCAGAATTTTTATCAGCCTAAATATTGCTAGATGTCAGAGTAAATAGTCGTCCTTCTTTCTATGATTATTAAAATTATTGCCTTTTGAGTGATTGTAAGATTTTTGTGAGTTGTAGACAGACGGCGGTGCAAACATCGGGTCTCGTTCTTGGCTCCGATCAGTCCTCCATTTATTCTTTGGAAAATCAGATGGATCTGAAAAAGCAAAATAAATAATGTACAATTAAAATTATACTGTATATCAAGTGTTTTGTTTACATACATACATACATACACATATACACGCATACACGCATACATACATACATATATACATACATACAAACCAGCTCTCCACAATGTGGGGCCTTCCCCCATCCCACTTATATCACTCATAACTAATAAATCTAATTGATTATATCTAGTTTTATACCATAGTACCATTATCTATAACTCAAAAACTTTGTCTTTTTATAAACATAAGAAAATACCAAAGGGAATCCAAACCTTTATCCAAGTCCCACTCTCGTATCTTGGTATGTGTTGTCAGTTTCTGCCCAATTGACGTCGTAGGCAGCGCTGCTTCTGTAGTTATTGTTTCTTCTTCCTTTTTCACTTCTACTTTTACCTCTTCTTCGTCTTCTATTAATTCTCCTTTCATTCGCTTCCTCTGTTTGATCTTCTCTAGGCGTGCATTCATCGCTGCTTTTCTTTTTTCTTTTAACTTCTCTCGACGAGCTCTTTGATCTACTGTCTATAAATGAAAAAGGTAATCTTGAAAGAATTACACATAGCTTGCAGCATCATTGTGCTGAATTGTGTATGGGCGTGGTATGTGACTATTGTAGCAGACGTAAATACTGTAGGCGCTCCTTAGCAAAGGTTACAACAATAATAAATAAAATTAATAACATAATAAATAATAGTGTGGTATTATAAATCAAGGCGAATATGATAAATAATGATAGACTGATGAAGGTAAATATATTAGTGGAAAGAGGCAAAGATGTTTTTTTTTTTTTCTGGTTTTATTATCAAACTCATTGCAAAACAAATTGAATTATGAGATTTACAATATTTTTCACAAAAAAATTAATTCTAAAACTTCAAGAGAACAACATCAAAATGCCATTAAACCCCTCCCTCCCCACCCCCCTCCCAAAAAAAAAATCATCAAAGCAACAAGCGGTTTAACCAATAACAATGAAATATATCAAGAAGAAAATAAAAATCAGCATTAAAATGACACCCAATAACAAATTTCAAAAGGATAAAAGACCTTTAACCATAACAAAGCACTAAAAGCAAACACAAAAAAAGTTGCAGCAATAAAATCAATGGTTAATATAAAAAGACAACACACAAATATCGTACTGTAGATAGATGGTTTAGATAGACAAATTTCATATACAGTACCTACAATAATAACCAAGTCCCGTGAACATGCTGTAACAGTTAATTTAGCAGATCTAAAATACAACATACCTCATCACGAAGTGTTTCCAATGCCTCCATTTGCTTTGACCTTTGTGATACATCTTTAGCAAACTGGAAATAACCAACACCCATATCTCGCACCTCTGAAGAGACAAGTAATTATTGGCTTATAACTTATGCATATGAAATATACTACCTAATTAACTTTTGTTATTTTCAGCAAACATAAGGTGTCACTAGGGAGAACTTACATTCTCTCTTTAATGTAACCAGCAAACTATGCAGCTTATCAATTTAATGATATGATAGAACCCCCTCCTTTGTGACATCCCTATTAAGGGGACACTCTTATTAATGGGACATTAAAACTAAAAAATTCCAACAACTATCGAAGGTTATTGTAAGGTGGGCTTATATCGTGGTGGCTTTTACATACATCCGAAGAAACTACTTGTTTTATTTTATTCAAATTCAGCTTACAACATATAATAGACAATAGTTAGCAAGGTGGAAGAAATAAGATAAAAGTACATCTAGTTTATCCACCTAAACATAGCAAAACAAAACATAAACGTTTTGCAATTCAATGCAAATTTATTTGAGCATAATTCATACATAAGACATAACAATGAACAATGATAACAATGAAAAATAAACTTCATTATAGTAAAACATTTACAGCTCAGGTTAACCCAATAAAACCTAAGTGGTTTATTTCCATTGCGGTCTTTTAAATGTAAAGTTTTACATAAAAGTTGGTTAAAAATTAAAACAAACCCATTGCAATATTACTATTATTAATATAGCTATCTAAATATGTATGTATATATATATATATACATATATGTATATATATATATACATATACATATATATATATATAAAATATAAACAATAATATATTTATAAAATATAAACAATATATATATAAAATATAAACAATATATATATATATAAATATAAACAATAATATATATATAAAATATAAACAATAATATACATACAGTACATACATATATATATATACATTATATTAATTTTTTTATCATTGAATATCTTTTATTTATACATTCATTATACATTTATTATTCTTACCATCGTATCTGACATTCTGATAGTGAACCGGTCCTGATGGTCTATTCAATGCATCCTCCTCCTCTTTCTCCCACTTTTTGCGCAACATCTCCCGGTACATGTCAGATGATAACAGCTGGGGGTTCTCATCAGTCTCATCTTCCTTCATCCTACAATAAAAATTTTAGTAACATCCCAAAAATTTGTCATAATAATTCCATAATAATGATAATGCACAATATGCTAATTATGCATATGAATTATTCATTGAGCATGACTGATTCATTATGCATTATTTATTATGTATTATTCATAAGATGTGACAAAGTATAGTATTAGTACTCACCCTTTCTCAGGACCAACAAGCTCCTTATCCATTGCAATCAAATCTGCCAAGTCTTTCCTCATGCATCGTCGAGAACGGCCTAATGAATCAACATAATCAACCCTGCAAGTAAATCATAAAAACATTTTTTTTTTTTAATTCTTTACTATATTTATCAAGTATTATCAAATGGTAGTGTGTGGGGTAATAATAAGAGTTGTAGCCCCTTAGACCATGGATCTACAATTATATATCCATAATTTAACCCTCTCATGAGATCCTCTTACGCTGTAAACAATTCATCATGATCAGCAAGTTGTGGGCTCACTAAACTAAATGTACAGGTATAAAAGAATTTAATAGTGTGAGATTTTTTCCTATATATATTGTAACTCGCACAACAAGGAATAGAAAAAGTGTCACCCAACTTGCATCTTAGGCTAAATGCTAGCATGAACCACATCACAGCTCATTCAGTGGTGGTTCCAGACATTTGCAGGCGGAGATGGGGTGGGGGGGCCAACAGGTGGTTCTGAACCAAGGGGCTGACTAGAGCCTTGGTAAGGTTCATGGGGACAGTATTTGTGGGCTTAGTGCATTATGGCCCAAAAGTGTGCTTTTAAGGCCAACTCGGACAGTGTCGTACGACGCAGCCCGACGCGATTTGTTGTCGTGTCAGGTCTGTGTGAGTTCAATGCAGACGCGACGGTTTGCGTCGGGGGCAGTCGCGTCGTAGAATATTAAACATGTTTAATATTTCTCACGACGGCTTAAGACTGTCCCCGACGATAAATCAGGTCGGGCTGCGTCGGCCAACGCTGAGTTGGCCTTTAGAGAACAATATTAGGGATTGGTAAAATAATGTTATTTGGATAGGCAAATTAATATTTTTTTCTGATGTCTAAGCCTGTCCAACGGTGGCGTCACCACTGAACCCGTAATCAGACACTGGCTGGATTCAGATCAACCTCTACCCTTAAAAAAACCAGTACCTACCACTCTTCCTGTGGTCCTGCTGGTTCTGGTATATTGTCATTATCTATAACATCCTCTTCTTCATCTGATTTCTGGGATTGGTTCTTTATCTTACTCAATGCTTTCTGCTCAAAATCTACCAGAAATCTGCCACTTCCATCCTCATCTAAGAAATCAAAATATAAATTATTGATAAGTAACAGAAAAACGAATATACAATATATAAATATATATAATCACAAAAAATTATGGTAAGCCGGGCACCCACTCTGTAGTACGATGGTCATACGATTGTAATATGACGGTCGTACGATCGCCGTATGAAGAATCCCACTGCACTCCACGTAAGCGCTAGATGATGCCACGCTGTCTGCTTGATTCCTGTCTCTTATACACATCTAGATGTGTATAAGAGACAGGTCTAAGCCTGTCCAACGGTGGCGTCACCACTGAACCCGTAATCAGACACTGGCTGGATTCAGATCAACCTCTACCCTTAAAAAAACCAGTACCTACCACTCTTCCTGTGGTCCTGCTGGTTCTGGTATATTGTCATTATCTATAACATCCTCTTCTTCATCTGATTTCTGGGATTGTTTCTTTATCTTACTCAATGCTTTCTGCTCAAAATCTACCAGAAATCTGCCACTTCCATCCTCATCTAAGAAATCAAAATATAAATTATTGATAAGTAATAGAAAAACGAATATACAATATATAAATATATATAATCACAAACAATTATGTTAAGCCGGGCACCCATTCTTGTACGATGGTTGTACGCTTGTAATATGACGATCGTACAATCGCCATATGAAGAATTCCACTCCACTCCACGTAAGCGCTAGATGATGCCACGCTGTCTGCTTGATTGTCGGTGACAGTCTGAACGGATCGGCATTAAAAACGGTCCGTTGCGCACGCGCCTGTCGTACAGTTGGGTTCTTCCTCAAAAGTTAGTTTCCGGCCGTCTAGTAAAATAAATTTTGCAGGAGCATGTCCCCAGACCCCTTAGGGTGGAGTTATCTCGATCGGCCCTACTTTCGGTTCTCCCCCCCACATTCTGACATCTCTGGATCTGCTCCTGGTACATACAATACAAAAAAAGAATTAAGCTAGACCCATAAAGTAAGTTGACAAATTAAAATTAAATCCATGAAGATTAAATGCATAAATCTGAAAATTCCTGAAATTAATATGGGATTTTTCCAAAATTACCTGGAATATAGTTTGCTTTTGTCATCTCATCATACAACTTAGATTTAGCTTCTAGCGATGCTCTGCAAATTCAATGAACATTGGTAAGAATTTAATGTTTACCAGTTTAAAAATAGGGTTCATTATTGAATAATAAGATATACAGTTGTGCTTTATAACACCCACCCACGCAGTATTTGTCATACAAACTTCTATAATGCAAGGATATAGTTTAAGGTATTTTAAATACAGTAATGCCTCCAAGTGGTCCAAAGTTGATTGGATTGGAATTCTTCGATGTGAAATACACCCAACAATGACCCACAATAGTTCAAAGACATTTCCAGTGGGGTCCTTCTGATGGAAATTTGGGCAATACGCGGAAAATAACCATCTACAATTTTCTTGTACTGTAACATAAAAATGGCCCCTATTGCAAGCATTTACTTATCGAAAAAAGATGATACACTCATGCATTCCAAATCTCCAGCTGAATCACAAAGAGGGTTGCGGGAGGATTATTACCTCCGCAAAGGAGGTTACAGCGCGTATTCACTGTCTGTCCATGGGCCTATTAATAGGTCCATGGTATTATTAATAGGTTCATGGTCTGTCTGTCTGTTAGCAACATTATGCAAAAACCAATGAATGAATTATCACAAAATTTATTGAAATGGTACACAATAATCACAGAACGGCACCTTTCAATTTTCGGAAAAGGTCAAAGAACAAGGTAAGGTCACAAAATTCTGATTTCTTACTCTCGAGGATAAGAGAAAATAATGGAAATTTCCCATGTATTTATGAAGCACTTAAGAAAACAATGTGCCTGAATACGGTGGGTGATTCCAGTATATTTCTTGAGGGTAGGCCGCAGCACTCAAGAAAATAATGTGCCTGAATACAATGGGCCATTCCATTATTTCATTGAGGGTATGCTGCAGTTTCGCTCATCCTACATGTCTTGCCTATTGCTGGTACTGTATTCACGCACAGGTCAGAAGTGTGCACTCTATGGAGCGACTGCTCTAGTTAATTAATGTATCAGGGGGCCTAGGGTATGTAATGATCTCTATGTTTCAGCGCACAATCAGTAAACCTCTAGTTCAGTCAACTGTTTGGTGACATGGGAGCAAGTTAAACACTCTACACACCTGGATTTATCCAGACTCTTCTTGTCTTCCGAAGCTGCTTCTTGATCTTTCGCTGCTCGTTGATTGACACCTGCATTTTTCTTACTCCACAAACTGGGTTTCTTTGAATTGATGAAAAATGAAAAAAAAATTCAAAAAAATATTATTGAATAAAGAAGTAAAGTGATACCTCAGCATTCTCATACAAACAATGCTAGATAGAGACAGCAAGAAGCTAGATGAATAATAATAATAATAACCAACCTTTGGAGCAGACTTTGCCTTTACAACGTTAGAATTTTCCAGGCGCTCTTTTTGAAATTCCTGTTGTTTTTTAAATAATTCTGCTTTCAAACCTACAAGCTGAAAAAAAAAACCAAAAACATGCAGTTATGTTTGCGTTAGTCACTAACAAAAGAGCCAGTCCACATCACAAGTGGTTTTCAGACCATTTCAGCGTAAAGTGCTATATAAATCAAACTACATTACATTACATTTTTCCCAAAAAAATATTCTGATCGGATGAAAAAAAAAACAGTACCACCCAGACTGTAAATTAAGGCCTGCACAGGGAAAGTATCCTTTACACAAAAATTAAGCCTAGAAATCTGCCCGCACATTTCTAAAAATAAATGCGGATTTCCCTGCATATTTTGCCAAAAATTAGGCTTTGACTTAATCTTAATATATAACCAATTTGTTATGCAGTAGTTACAATTCTGCGCACCTATTTTTGTAGCAATTTTCCACGCAAATTTTAGCTAGTTTCTGAGGTATCATCCATGCAATTAAAATGCATTACAGTATGGGTTAGTCCAGTCCGAAATGTAGCAATATCAGGTTGTAATTGTTTTTGCTATATTTTTTTTTAATTGAATATGATGTAGAGTTGACACTGATAAATCAAAAAAGTATGTGCATTTTTTTTTACATACGTAAGGGGTGTTGCCAGAAATTTCAAAATGGCTGCAAACAAATAGACCTTATCATAACAGACTTTGAAAAGGCGTTTGACAAAGTCCTGCACCAGAAGCTTCTTCAGAAAATGCGTACGTACGGAATAGTTGGGAAAACCTTGAAATGGATTGAACCTTTCCTTACTAAACGTAAACAAAGGGTTGTAATTGAGGGTAAATATTCGGATTGGGCTGAGGTCAATTATTTGGTGTTCCGCAGGAGACAGTCACTGGCCCCATGGGCTTTGATTTACATTAATGATCTACCAAATAATATTACTTCACATATCCGATAGCAATTTAAATTTTACGAATTTTATCAAATTTCATGATCTTATGTAACATTAATCTGTCATTTTGACAATGTTGGCATAAGGTGCCGGAAACGAACATTTGAGTATATACAGAACATTTATTAATTTTTTCTGCGAAGTGATTCACCACAATTTTGGTAAAATTAATGTTGAAAAATGAAGAATATATTTCAGTCTAATGTTAGTGCAAAATATCATTAGTCCTTTGTAATCACCGCACGACACGCAATTATCATGGCAAAAACACGCGCGTGGGTAAATCGTCATGTACGGTGACGGTTTATGGTCTGGTTGCTATGGTTTTTGTGACGTTCAGCGTGTAGGGACGCACGTGCGCCTAGAATGTCGATGCCAGAGTTACCTTTGATGTCTCGAGCTTGCTTCCTTCTGTTGAACTGCCTTGGGCCTAGCTAGGCCTAGGCCTACCTAGGCTGTCCTGTCGATGGTCTGGTTGGTTGCCTGGTCAGCCTACCTAGCCTAGCTTTAAGAAGGCCTAGGTGCCAAGGCCTAGGGCCTCTAGGCCTAGCTAGGCTACCTAGCTAGTAGTAGTAGGCTAGAAGGCCTAGGCCTAGCCTAGTACAGTAGGACCTTTGCCTAGGCCTAGCCCTAGCTAGGCTAGGGCCTAGCCTAGTCTGATAAACAATTATAGGCTAGGCTAGAGTCCGGGGGATTTCTTGGCCGCAGTTTTATAATCTAATATAATATTAATGATTAAATTGCTCCAGGATACTTACCGATGACGCATTAACTTTAATATTGTTTTTAAAGCTCATTGTTTTGGTTTTCTGTTCGCTCCCCGTACTTTTCACAAGACTACTTCCGGAAAGTGAAATCCAGGTTCCCCGCTTACGTACCTCTATTGCGCTAGCGCTAACAGTCTGTATTTTCCGTTGTTTGAAACGCGTTGACAAGTTACTGACGTGTTGACAGGTTCAACACACGTCATAAATAATGAGATAAGCAGACGCGGATTGAAGAAGGGAAGGGGAAGTGGGGGAAGGGGGACTGGGCCGGTCCCAATATTAAATACAATAGAACCCCTCAATTGGTACACACCTATTAAAGGGAAACTTTTCTATTAAACGAGGGGAAATTTATCTTTTAACAAGCCAACCTACCTAAAAAGGGGACAAATGGGGACACTTTTTGGGTGTGCAAAATGGTCAAATCAGTACAATTTAACACCTATTAAGGGGACACTTATTTTTTTATTGTACCAAAACAACACTACAGTAGTCACAAAATAAGATAAATCATTCAAATTTATATTTTGACACTACCTTTTAAGCAATAAACATTATCAAACCAGAATTATTTCTTCTCAATCTTTAGAATGGGCATTGGTATATCGGTATAGGCAGTGCATGTTTTACTTGATATAAATAAAATGTTGACCTTTAATCATGAGGATATCTTGTTTTGTGTATTTTCATATAGGATTCTATTTTACACCGGTCATACACCATGCAGCCTGATGTTAAATTCATTACTCTAATCATAGTATTCTATATTATGTATCATTCAAAAGAAAGCTCAATATTTAAAAAAAAAAAAAAAAAAAAAAAAAAAAAAAAAAAAATTGGGCATTAACATTGCGCTCGAATCCTGAAGCAATATCGGGAACATGTGCAATTTTTGCAGTTTTAATTAAATGTCTGTTGAGTTCATATCATAATATTAATTATTTTTTTACATTGCAAATTATTCGTTATACAAATCAGTTATAATTCAACTGTAACTCATTCTTGAGGCCAAATTGAATTAAAATTATAGAGAATCTATGTCATCATTGTGCGAAACATGTCAAAAATCTTTATTAAGGAGTTTTTGGTTAGTGCCCCTTGGGGACCTGCCGTAGTGTCGCCCATATAACGCTTACCGTAAATGGCGTTCGTTGTTAATAGGGCGCCCCCTACCACGTGGTAGAACATTCTTTAACGTTTCATCATGCATACAAAATTAGGGCAGTCGGACCTCTTGTCTATACTATAATATTTTTAGAGGCCGTTACATTACTTTATACTAAATAATCATCATTCTCCAATTAGATTCGACCTGGCCTAAACGAGCCAAACCGATCTTTCATATCAAGATCTGTTTTAATGTAAGTTTTCCCCCAGATAATTGTTCAATTCCATGTTACAGATGTATTGATCCCTGAAAATGGCAAAAAACATAGAACAATTTTGAAATCACTTTGCTCAGTTTGCAGTAACATACAAAGTAGGCCTAACTTGAGCATAGACAATTTGTACCCTGGTTTCTTAACTGGAAAATGGTAAAAAAAAATAATAAAAACACTTCTATTGACTGGATTGGAAGTGTTTCTATCATTTTTTTTAACTGTAATTTATTTTTGTCATTAATTTCTATGTTCAAGTTTTTTATGATAAGTTAATTTTAAAAATTGATTTTTGGTTTTGTCAGGTATTTTCAAATCAATAATTGTTTCTTGAAAGAAAGAGTAAATTTGTGTGCTGGAATAGTTTGAGCGGTGAGTTTAGCTGGTCTTTGACATACTATTTATGGAAAGTGTTAATAGTCGATGACGTTTTCCCTTATTTATATATTTAGTACAAGATTAAATAAATTGTGGTTATTATTGGAATTGGAAGCGGAATTTTTCATTAGGCCAAGCTACAATTGACTGCGACAACAAAACACTTATCTAAACTCTAAGCTACAGATTTTCCACAACCGCTACAGCATTAACATCGGAGCTGGTTCTAGACGCCGCTCACCCACGGTTCGGTTGGTCCAACACAGTTTGTCTTTTTTTGGAACACGTAGGCATACTTAAAATGATCCAGTGTACACGTCTGGCTCTTGTGCACTCACTATAGCCTAAACTTTCCAATTTACGTGGGGAAAATACATTTCTTATTCTGTTGCTAAGTAGTAATGGAACGTGACATAACCCAAGACATAACAAAACACACCATATTCTTACTTTCTTTAAATAGCTAAATATCTCCTTTATTAGACGTACTTTTCTTCGTAACAAGAAAATCATCTAAAATCAAAGCACCGATAATAAATAAACATCTACCGTACTCTATAGGTTATCGGCTTTAATTTATGGCTGAAATCACCGTCTACAGTACTTCTTAACTAAGATCTGACTACAAATACCAACATGTTTGGTATCATTTTGTTTGTTTTAGTTTAATAATTCTCAAGGCCTGATACCTAGCAAGCACATGCCTTAAATTTAACAACAAAAATCGTTTGTCCATTAACGTCACTAGCTAAGCATTTCTAAAATTATTTCATAAATAACAACGTCTGTATATTTACAATTACTTTGCAAACATAATGAGAATGAATCGGCTGCAATAGTACTTGCTTTCAAAATTAAATGTTATTATTATATTTATCCGCTGTCTGTATTTGCCATCATGATTTTTGACAGAGGACTCTCCTTGCCGGAATTACGTACTTATTAAAAAACATTGGACTTTTTACAGTTCTGTAAAAAGTTTGATTCTTTTGATTGAACATTTGATTCTTTTTCTAATAAAACTTTTAAAGGAATTAAAGTCTACTACTAGATATAAATAAATTACAATATTTCTAACTAAAATCTATAGAGTCAGTTACGAATTTCAGGATGAAAACAAGCTGCGTTGTATATTGCGTCAAAATTAATTTATTACTTGACTTACTTGACCACTATTAGCCACTCTTAAGGCGAGACTATTTTATACCTTGTTTTGGCCAATTATGGAACCCGTCGCCAAGAAATAATTTCAGAAAAATATAACAGTTTTTCTTAATTTTTAATACTCACACCGCTACCTTAAAATCTCCAAAAATAAGATATGTATATTTCTTCCTAATTATATAAATTTAAAGCATTTAACCATCCCATACGCTGTGTATATTCATTAGTACATTTTATTTTATTTTTCATTTTCTCTTCTGGTTGTCTGGATGTTTTTGGCTAAATTATTTGCTAAATAATATTTACTTTACCCACGAGACAAGGTTAAAAAAAGTCTCGCCAAACAAAGAGCTATTTATTGATATTACAACTAACGTAATATTAGTTATTCGTGATGTTTATTTACTGGCAATTTACTGCCGATCAGCATATATTCAATTAAATTCAATTTTTTTCAATAAAGCCGAGACACGTACAAATATCGTGTCTGACGAAAAACTTGACAACGGTTAATGAGCTCCAGATTTTTGATTATTTAAAAACTAGGAGAAATTGGCGTAACCACCCTTTTTCTCACATTTTCTCCCAGTTTTTACATATTTAAGTCTCTGTATCTCATTAACCGTTTCCGAGTTTTTCGTCAACACCATGTTTGTGTCTTAGAAAAACCATTTATACAAATAGGCATACCACAAGTTTTTTTTTCTTCCGGAGCCTGAAAATTCATCTTGAAGGATGCATGATAGGAAGGAGGTTTGACGGTTGACGCACCGTGGTAGTCAAGTCTCCCCAAGTCGCCCCAAAAAATCACGGTCAAGTAGTTCAAAATCACCTAAAATCACCTTATTTTGCGAATTAGCGCCCATCAACTGATCATCGAGGCCCCCTCCCCCACACACTTCACCTTCGCGCCCCCAGTCAGCAGCCCCATTTTAAGACTTCTAGATACGTCACTGGGCTCAGGACGTGAGAAAGAAAAGAGCTCTTATTATACGTGTCACTGCCGATCGACTTTGAAGTAAGAAAGGAGAAATTATGGTAAACGTACCACGGCAGATCTAGATCTCATCATAAGCACATGCCTACTATGTAACTTTATGTAATTCCTCCAATAATTCACTGAATTGAACAAAAGAAAACATTTTTTCTCATGTTAATCTTATTATATTGGCTTTTTAAGAGTATTCGCCACAGAATAATGTACCACAACTGAATAGCATAGAACGCAGACTCAAACACTGTTGGAAACATTGGAATACATCTGTACACATTTTATCGGAGTAATTATGTTGTCGATGTTTCTGTTACTTGTGTAGGCGTTGCCAGTTCCTGTGTAACTAGCTTTAATTTCCGTTTATATGGCCGCCTTTTTATTGTCTTCAAACATTCCAAATACCTATTTTGACGTTCATGATGAGATAGTGGGCGATAGTTGGATTGCCGCATTCGAGTGGACTCTTTTTGGTGTGCTGTCAATCCTATGGCACCTTCGCTTATTGTACTGATTTTATCTTCGTCTCCTGTGCTTTTACTACGCATAGAAATGTCAGTAGATAATATTCTCCAATCTACGGAAGAACTTCCATTGCATTGTCTCGCAAGATTAATATCGTCACAAAAGTATTTAGATGAGACGCCTGTGTGCATGCTCACTAGAGGCCTAGAATGCGTTAATGTTTGTTGTGGTAAAGGTTTCTGATGGTATTCTAAACCGTAGTTAGATTCACGTTCTAGCAGCCGACGGAGCATCAGAGATTTTCCAGTTTGTCCATAGCCCGCGGGAGTTGGGCCTTCAAAGATATTTGCCATGTTTTTCGGTGCGGTGGTGCCATTGAGCCCTCTGTGTACTGTGTTTCCAATTTGAGAATGATCCTCAGGAAAAATCGCGTTTCGATTTACACCAACAGGATTTGGGGGTGGTGGTTGTTTATTCGTAAAGACTTCGGGTAAATCACAAACTTTGTTTTTAGTTAGGCTAGACGTATAATGTTCTTTCTGGTCATAGGAAACGTCGGAAAAATCACAATCGGATGGAATTTCTAATATATCCATTGTGACAGACGAATCCGTACCGAACACAATCGCTCGAAGATAGCTCGAATTCCCATCCTTCGATATAACCAGAGTAGATGGAAACCCGGAATCGTCTTGATACACCGGGACCATGCATGGATCCTGACCGCGAATTATTTCCCAAATTCTATTGCTATTATTTGTATTGGAGAGCATTACGTACGGTGTATGTTGTCCAAGTCTTGTATTGTTCAGTGAAATTCCCGGTTTCTTTGCAGAATTACGATATTGTCTTAATGTTATAGTTCGGGTCAGTGGATAAACATTGATGACGCTTTAAATAGGACTCTTTGCATGAATGCTCTAGAAAAATTTAAAAAAGAAAAGAATAACTTGTAATGTATTTTGAAGTAAACCTTAAGCCGGGCACTCACTGAGACGACGATGGTCGTACTACGAATCCAATGAGACGCCGTCTGCTGATTGCCGTTGGCAGCCTGGACGGATCATCAATTAATGCGATCAGAAGTTGGCGCGCGTCGTGACGTTGCGTTCGTCATAGAATCGCACCGGCCGACTACCGTCGGGCGCTGTGAATGCCCGGCCGGCTTTAGTAAGATTTCATAAAGTATGGTTAAAGATATCTGTCATCAAACACGTAAAAAATATATATATAAAACATTGAACTCGTTTAAAATGACGAAACAAATATCAACTTCCCATAAAATGCAAACCAATCAAAATAGGTTTTAAATTGTAACTATAAAAATAAATTGATTACCAGGGAAATCAAAATAATATAGAAACTGCAATACTTACCGTACGTTAGTTACTGCTAGGTAAGAAACATTCTATTAGTATTAAATCTATTTTTTAATTTTCAAACTAATAATTTAGCACACTTAACAAAGCAATTCAAATTCTAAAACAGTTTTTTACGGTAACACGTTTCAGTAATCATGGTTTGTATACATTTACTCCGTTTATGTTATTGGAAATTTAGATATTTATCATGTGTTCATGACTTATGAAAATCTGAAAATTTATGCTGAACCCACTCCATATAATTATGCATTAACTAGTACTAATCTTTATTTACTGCTCTGGTTCCAAATCGTGTGGTCGGGACCCCATTTGCTGTCGTTGGCTGTAACAGTCGTGTTGCTGACAGTTGCATGTGTCTGGGGTTGTAGGTAAATTTTGGTCATATTTATATATAGACTTTAAAAGGCATACCTAATGTAGCACTTATACACAAAAAAAAAGAACAACACTGTATTCATAACCCACTCTAATAACTGCATGTTGGATGTAATTATAAAAAAGTAATGTACATACTGTATAGCTATACATTTACATATTTTCAGACATAAACACGCAATATGCAAACCTTCAAACAATACATATATAAGCCTACATAATTAACAGAAGCATGGCAGTTGTTTTAAAATTGAATAATTTAGTAATGGATGGACAATTGTGAGAGTTTAAACAAAAGGTGATATGTTCCTGCCTGTCCTATTCTGGATCCACTCAACTTCCTTAATACCATTCCACATTTAACTTCAATCCCAGCTGTAATGTATTAGGTTACATGTTTCTTTCGTGTAAAAAACAGTTACTCAATATACAGTAGGCCTGTTTAAAACCAATATGGCTTCAGACATTACACCTGATTACACTTAATGCTATAGCTTAGTCATGCCAACAATTCAGAACTAGCCAAATTCTCCAATAAGGCTACAGCATTTTGATTAGGCGAATTAGCTTTAAGAAACCAGGAGAAACCTAACTAGTCTATCTGGGAATTTTGACTACTTTAGCCCACTCGCGATATACAGAATGTTATGAGAGACAACCTTAGCTATAATGATCTGATGCAACCCACAATCTATGCAACACTTACAGATACGTGCTGTCCTACCTTTTTCCTGGCGTCTTCTGTTGTTGTAAACTTACGACAAAGTGACCTTGGGACTATACTGTTCTTTATGCTAGTTATAAGGACAATAAAAAACGTCCAATAATGATATGAATTGAATAACCTCTGTATTTTAACAAAAGGCATATTCAGAAAGCTTACATTCCAGTGGTGTGCATTGGACCTGAAAGTTAACCTACTGTACTTAACAGTTTATTCAAAATCCAAGGTCAACAGTTTAACTATGCTTTTAAATCGTCAACAAATTAATCTTTCAGCTAATCCTCATCCCTTGGGTATTATACTAATACAAAATGAAAGCGTAAAGATACACAAACATGTGTTTGTGGGACATGCGCGTATTCCTTGCTATTATTATAAAAGTCCGTTGTGATTGGTCAGTTGTAGGCCTAATGTTTGATTGACACTCCGGAATTGACCAATAGACAGTATGCCTGAATTATTTTCTCTATGAACTTGTATCTTTTTAATTTTTAAAAATTCTTTAAAAATTTGATGTAAAAATAATACAGTAATTGCGATTATTAAGTCATTTTTAAATAAGGAAGGATTTGACCAATGAAATCGTAAGCACAGTGGAAAACTAATTTAATAACAGGAAGTTTAAAAAAAAAACAGACGCTTCTTGTAGGCCCATGTATGATATGAATTAAGGCCGATAGGTGCAGAAAGATACGATAAAAATTATCGATGTGGTGTAAATTAATGGAAGTGGTCACACTATAACGATAACGATACGATTATCGTGAGCGATAAAGTTATCGTATCGGTCGAATCACTTTTGAAGCGATTTTTTTTATAGTTATCGGCAACGATAAACGTATCAGCCAATCAGATGAGGGTAGTCAGGGAAGATGAAAGTACTGTAGTCAACTTTCACACACACCGGTTGACCGAACTCGCGACGCGATGGATGATCAAACTGAGCGCCTGATTTTGGAGGTTCAGACACTAGGCCTATCTTGTATGAAAATCAAATGCTGATTGCAAAAGTGTTAACCAAAAAAGAGACGTTTAGCAAGAAATTTGCCGCCGAGTTGGAATGAGTGGTGAGTGTGATTCTTGTCTATAAAAACGGTTAGAGTAGTAGTAGGCCTAGCCTAGGCTGTAGCTTCAGTTACTAGCCTAGCCTAGCCTAGGCCTAGGCCTAGTCGACCAGGGGCCGAAATGATCCTACACCGCCTAGGCTAGGCCTAGAAACATCTGTATATATAAGATGTGTATAAGAGACAGGTCCTATTCTGGATCCACTCAACTTCCTTAATACCATTCCACATTTAACTTCAATCCCAGCTGTAATGTATTAGGTTACATGTTTCTTTCGTGTAAAAAACAGTTACTCAATATACAGTAGGCCTGTTTAAAACCAATATGGCTTCAGACATTACACCTGATTACACTTAATGCTATAGCTTAGTCATGCCAGCAATTCAGAACTAGCCAAATTCTCCAATAAGGCTACAGCATTTTGATTAGGCGAATTAGCTTTAAGAAACCAGGAGAAACCTAACTAGTCTATCTGGGAATTTTGACTACTTTAGCCCACTCGCGATATACCTGTCTCTTATACACATCTAGATGTGTATAAGAGACAGGTGTATATTCATTAGTACATTTTATTTTATTTTTCATTTTCTCTTCTGGTTGTCTGGATGTTTTTGGCTAAATTATTTGCTAAATAATATTTACTTTACCCACGAGACAAGGTTAAAAAAAGTCTCGCCAAACAAAGAGCTATTTATTGATATTACAACTAACGTAATATTAGTTATTCGTGATGTTTATTTACTGGCAATTTACTGCCGATCAGCATATATTCAATTAAATTCAATTTTTTTCAATAAAGCCGAGACACGTACAAATATCGTGTCTGACGAAAAACTTGACAACGGTTAATGAGCTCCAGATTTTTGATTATTTAAAAACTAGGAGAAATTGGCGTAACCACCCTTTTTCTCACATTTTCTCCCAGTTTTTACATATTTAAGTCTCTGTATCTCATTAACCGTTTCCGAGTTTTTCGTCAACACCATGTTTGTGTCTTAGAAAAACCATTTATACAAATAGGCATACCACAAGTTTTTTTTTCCTCCGGAGCCTGAAAATTCATCTTGAAGGATGCATGATAGGAAGGAGGTTTGACGGTTGACGCACCGTGGTAGTCAAGTCTCCCCAAGTCGCCCCAAAAAATCACGGTCAAGTAGTTCAAAATCACCTAAAATCACCTTATTTTGCGAATTAGCGCCCATCAACTGATCATCGAGGCCCCCCTCCCCCACACACTTCACCTTCGCGCCCCCAGTCAGCAGCCCCATTTTAAGACTTCTAGATACGTCACTGGGCTCAGGACGTGAGAAAGAAAAGAGCTCTTATTATACGTGTCACTGCCGATCGACTTTGAAGTAAGAAAGGAGAAATTATGGTAAACGTACCACGGCAGATCTAGATCTCATCATAAGCACATGCCTACTATGTAACTTTATGTAATTCCTCCAATAATTCACTGAATTGAACAAAAGAAAACATTTTTTCTCATGTTAATCTTATTATATTGGCTTTTTAAGAGTATTCGCCACAGAATAATGTACCACAACTGAATAGCATAGAACGCAGACTCAAACACTGTTGGAAACATTGGAATACATCTGTACACATTTTATCGGAGTAATTATGTTGTCGATGTTTCTGTTACTTGTGTAGGCGTTGCCAGTTCCTGTGTAACTAGCTTTAATTTCCGTTTATATGGCCGCCTTTTTATTGTCTTCAAACATTCCAAATACCTATTTTGACGTTCATGATGAGATAGTGGGCGATAGTTGGATTGCCGCATTAAATATATATATATATATAAATAAATATATATATATATACATACATAAATGAATATATCTATATATATACACATACATAAATAAATAAATAAATAAATAAATATATATATATATATCATATAAATACAAAAATAAATATATAAATAAATATATAAATAAATATATATCAATATATAAATAAATATATAAATAAATATATATATAAATATATATATATACATAAATAAATATAACAATATATATATATATCAATATATATATCAATATATATATATATAAATATATCAATATATATATATATATATATATACATACATAAATAAATATATATATATATATATATATATATATATATATAACGATACATATTTACATATTTAACTGTAATCTAGAGCTATTGGCCTGTATTTAATATACTTCAATATTCTTGCTTAATTTAAATACGGGTATTACCAAATATTATAAACATTAACGATTACATTATTTCATATATATTTTTTAAAGTAAATATCTAAACTTTAACTTTAATTGTAAACTCTGAAAGTAAATTTACGTAGATTAGATCAATAAAAATGTTCATAGTAGTAATCCTTATTTATTCATTAACAACCGAAAGGTCCACTGATTAATCTCAGATAAGAAAGTATAATACATACTCCAAGTATTGAAATACACGTCATCGTGTTGGGATTCAATATTTCGACATTAATTATGTAATAATTCCTGATGATTATACTTTTTTTAACAATAATAACATTTCCAATTTTATAATAAACTTTATTATAGCCGGAGTTAGTTTAGACATAGGCAAACCTTGCAAAAAAAGTACATCAAAAGACTTTCTATGAATGGATCGAAGCACGTTACGATCTTTCTTCGTTGTGGTCAGGTGTGACCGCAAAGGCAACGATATATCGTTATCGGTATCGTTATCGGTGTAGGTGTGACCTGGCCTTTAGTGTTGCGCTCACGTGCTCCTCCTACGATAATTAGTTATGATGAAATCCAAACCTGAAATAAAATAATTATCATATTGCAACAGTTTCATATGAATTGTTGATAAACAGCAATCGACTTAAAACACATTCGGCAAAACAATAAATACTATATATATAATTGAAACTACTGTCGTCTTTCATTTAGAAGTATCGATAAAAAGAGAACAGAGAAGTAAAATTTTTTTTACCAAATACTCACAGGAAGGTAAGCATTATGGTACTACTACTACATGGAGTAGTACTACTATTTATTATTTATTATTGACTTTTCCCAGCAGTACTGGGAAAAGCCTCTTTTTTTTGTTCTAATTTTTTTGTTCTTTTTTCTTGCATATATTTTTCCTATCTTTTTGCACTGTTTTTTTCTGGCCGTCACTTTGGTCACTTCCCCCTTCCCATAATTTTTCCGTGTTTGCCGAAGCATAGGCCATATATCAAGGATGTGCCTCCTAATATTTAGTGTCAATATATGGTGGGGTGTGCGTGTGAGGACAAATTAAAGTGATTTAAGGTCAAACAGTCTACACCGGATATTTTTAAAAACCGGTCAGTTGATGTGAATCAAACTTACGAGAAATGTTAATCAGGTTACAATGAAGACATTTTTATGTGTTAGTGACGATCCAGTGAAGGGTGTAAATTAGGGTGTAAAATAAAAGTTTAAATGAAACATTCTATAATACTTTGTAAAGGTCGTGTAAACAAATAATTAAATTTTTGTGACGATCCGCAATGGTGTGGATCTGAGGACCATTTAAAGGAAAACGTCCCAGACCACATATTTCGAAAACGGATCAACTGATTTGAATGAAACATTCGGAAAAATTTAACCAAGTTACAAGAAAGAAATTATTATGTGCTGGCGACGAATCAGTCAAGGGTGTAAATTGGAGGGTCATTTCAATTTTTGAGGACCCAGACCTAAATATCTCTTTAAAAAAAATCAATGGGTATAATTTAAACCTTGTATAACGGTTTGTCAATGTCGAGTAATTAAATGATAAAATTTTTGTGACGATCCGCAGTATGGTGTGGATCTAAGAACCATTTAAAGAAAAACGTCCCAGACCCATATTTCGAAAACGGATCAACTGATCTGAATGAAACATTCGGAAAAAGTTTAATCCAAGTTACAAAGACTATATTATTATGTGTAAGGGACGATCCAGGTTAGGGTTTTAATTTGAGGGTCATTTAAATTGCTTATGTCCCAGTTATAGATGGATAAAAATGACACTTTGCAGAATAGTTTTCCATGGTGAAATGAAGAAATGATCCAATTTTGGTGACGATCCACAGTAGGTTGTGGATATGAGGACCATTTAAAGATTTTTTGTTGACAGTTGATTAAATTATTTAAACGCAATTTGCGTTTTCTAAAGCGCTTAAACCAGTTACAGCTGGGTTAAACTCAAAACTACCGTGATATGCATGAGCAATTTTTGCTTTCAGTCATTGAATTGCTATGAACTGAAAATGCACTTTCCTATTCAAGGTCGGCTCATATGGCACGCAATAGTTGTGAGTCACAATGTACTCGCTATTACCATTGCACTCACAGTTCAAGTCTCACTAATAACGTCTCAGTGAACTTGGTTTTCGTTTTTTTTTTCACACTTCATTTTCTCCACTTCATTAAAATTATATATATTTTTCCGTGGTTTTTTTTTTTTTTTACTCTTTTTACTCTATACCTATTAACGACTTTTCTTTTTGTTGCAATTTCAACTTCATTTCTCATTAAAGCAATGGGGAAAAGCCCTATGTTCTGTTGTTCAAACAGACATAGTAAGTCTAGTTATTATCATCATCATTATTATTATTTTAATTATTATTATTATTATTATTATTATTATTATTATTATTATTATTAGACTGTTATCTTTAATAACATAATTATCATTGATTTAGCAAAGTATTTAAACGGTCTAAATCATCTTACGTGTTGTTTCTACAGCAAAAACAATACTGCTTTCTCCGTCAGAATGCCAGGTGCCAATAACGGATCATATAAAAACATTACGATAGAATCGTTATTGTATACGGATTTGGACAAAGTTATCATCTCCATCATTATGCCGATCGTGGTTACTATCGGTATCATTGGTAATGTAATGACAATTATCGTGATAGCAAGTAAAAAGTGCATGCATACACCTGTTAACGTTTACTTTGCAAATTTGGCGATAGCTGATACGATGTTTCTGATAGTTTCACCTGCTTTGATATGGAACTCTTATCTCAAAAGTCCGGTAAATGATTTATATGACATTGGTGAAATGCCGAATTGGGTTTGTCCACTATATGACTTCGTCTCTACCACAGGAGAGACAATTGCGCTTACCACAATATTTTGGCTATCCATTGAACGTTATATGGCAGTCTGCAGACCTTTGAAGTTCCAAAAAAGTGGATTTAGGAATTTTTCAAGGTCGATAAAGATATGTGGCATCATCTGGTTGTTATGTTTGTCTTGGAATGCTCCGTATCTGGTCGCGACGCATACAATAACCGAAGAAGTTCATTGGCCTCTCATTGCTGTCAATATTTTGCCGAATTTTCGTACATATTGTAGACGTGACGGATCATATCTTGCAATTCTGTGGTACATAAAACGAGCTCTCACTTTGTTGATAATTGTGATCATAGTAGCTCTTTACACGGCGATGCTGATATCATTGCGGAAGTCGCGAATTGCAGCAGCTAGTTCGACCAGACCACCAAGATATAAATCAGAAATGAAAGTTTTCCTGACAGCATTCGTAACTGTAACGGTTTATGTTGTTTGTATTGCACCATATTACATATATAGAGCATTAGGCCAATTCAAATATATTACAAAAGACAATTCACCACTGTATATATTCTATCTCATGGCTTATATAAATTCATCGGTAAATCCTGTGATATATAATGCAATGAATTATAATTTCAGACGAGCATTTTGTGACGTATACTGTAGCAAATGTAACAGAAAAAAGAACAAACCTACCAATGTACAAATTTAGAAACTTCAAACCTTAAACAAAATGATTATCAAAAATCTGATAATTAGGAATTCCGTCTTGGAAAATTTCTTTTATCTTTTAATAACAATTTAAACACAATTAATAGATAAATCTAGGAAAATACAACACTTTGTTATTTAATAAAAAATATTAAAGCATTCTTGTAAACAATGTCGTACGATAAAACAAAATAGTTGTTAATCAGACGACTCGCTGTTGGCTCCTCCGCAAATTTGCCACCATATAAAAAAAATAGCGTAGCAAAAACTAATACATTATCAAGTAGTGTGTGAAGTCATTAAAACACACGTCACTGTTTTGTGTATCGGAGGCACTATATCGACTTAGTGATCAGTGTCGAGGATAGGAAAATTAAGTGAAAATAAAAGTGATGACGTCACTGACTGATAAATCATTTTAGTTTACACCAACTTCTGTAGGCCCTAAGTGTTAGCCGAAAATACGATTTTATATAGAGCCCTTAGTAGAGAAATATGATATCCTAATGAATATTTACTTTTCGTGTGGCTGAACAGCAGTAGAATTATATATAAACAAAAATATTAGTATTGAATATGAACACATCCTGTAAAACAAAATGCAAATAAAGTATATTATTTAATAAATCAATGAGGGTCTTTACTTCGAAAAAGAAAAAGAAGAGATTGAGTGAAAAAATATATTGAAGAAAACATGTACAAGTGATTTAAAGATATTGAATGCATCCCTCTGCTAAGCATCACCCCATTGTATATTGTTACACCTTAAAAGAATACGATCATACGTAAACGTGTGTTAGTGGGACATGCGTGTATCCACGGCCCTGTTCTGATTGGTCGGTTCTTAAGTTTGTATTCAGCCTTATTGTGATCTTTAGATTTTTCGTAAATTGTTTTTAAATATTAAACTAATCATATGTGAAAAAAAATCCCCATTTATCAAAAAAACAGAAGTGGATATTTACCAGGTAGAATTGAATTGCTCATTTGAATAATCCCCTTTAATGAGACTTGTTATTATTTTGAAAAATTTAAGGGGGGGGGGGGGGGGGGCGGCTAGGCCCCTTGAATCCACTATTGGTTTTTACCTATATTTTACTACAAAAATTGATAGTTATGATGAAGATGATGATGAGGAGGAGGAGGAGCTGGAGAAAAATGTAGTGACGGGCGGCGGCACGGTCTGATTCAACGTGGGATTAATGCGAGCAAAGCAAGCTCATAGCTGGGGCCAGGAGACCACAAAATTCCCCTGTTGTGGTATAGGGGTGTAGGGGCGCAGTCAGGGTATCAAGAGACATCAAAAACTAAGGGAGGAATTTAAACATTGAAAGTAATGGTAATAAATACTCATATAACGTAAGCTAGATAAACTGAAAGCTAAAACTAGAACATATTGTAACGAATATTTTGACTATATCCGGTAGTCTTTGTCAGTGGTTGACATAAAATAAACATGACTATAATATAAATAATTAAATGATAATATAAGCATACACAGCAACTGTTAATTCGAAAGCAATAGCAGAATAATGAAACATTAATAATGATATATTAGTTTACTTGAGTATACTTTCACTCTTAATTAACTGAAACTTCCTGAAATGTTGGCGAGTCGATTGACCCAATCGGCGCCGGTTGTAACAGCGCTCCGCCTAATGGTTCTGGTGGTAGAACACGTCTTCTCGGTTAAGGACTATAAGACCATAGGCCATGTGGAGCAAATACTCACAAGAATGAGGCATTTATCATCGAGCCCCCTCCCCATTTCACCTTCTCCCCCCCCCCTCCCCCAA